CACTCCCCATCCCCTCTCCTGGTCATCCTGTTTGTCCTCGTCATTCCGTACTTCTACCAGAGCAGCAAGACCCACATCGTCGATGCCCTGCGGATGATGGTGAACGGCGAGCATGACAGTTACACCATTGCGTACAGGGATGCCAATGACGCCACGGTCTACAAGGTCTCGGACTCGCTGAACTCGCAGGCGCAGCTCGAGCAGCTCTGGCTGGACGTGATGCTGGTCCCGGCGATGGTCGCGCTCTCGATCGGGACGGTGCTGACGCGCCAGTGGACCGACAACGGCATCCTGTACTACTACGCCGTGCTCGTCGGTTTCTTCACTGTCGTGAGCATGTCGAACGATTGGATGACGTCGTTCTGGACGCGGTCCTTGAGGCTCTCTGGCGACCTGGGCATGAAGGGATCCGCCGTGTACGACCACTACCAGGGGTACAAGGACATGGTGACGTACGTGCAGCTCTTCATCCTCGTCGCGCTCATCTTCACGGCAGTGCCCACGGAGAGCATCACGGCCTACAGCTACATCCTCTTCTACAACTGGCTGTACTTTGTGTTCGGGCTGTTTGCCGTGTACATGCTCCCCGATTTCATCAATGACAGGGCAGCGCTCAACATCCACACGGTCACGGCGATGAAGCAGACGGCTGTGCTCCTGCTCGTCTTCACCCTCGTGATCACCCTAAGTGTGACGGAGTGGGTCAAGAAGGACATCTTTGCGTACCAGGGGTTGGTGTAGAATGCGAAAGTTTGTTTAATGAATGTAAGAGAAAGATGGAATTCCGCAACACCCGATCGTACCATTTAAGGACTTGCCTCGCCCCCCTGCGCAGAAGTGCCCGCCCGACCGCCATGGCCCTGCTGGCACCGCAACCTGGGTACTTCTATCAACCGTTCCATGAACGCTACCGCTGTCATTCTACCCTTCCTACCCTTGACTCCCATCTCGAGCTCATGAGCTCTATCTCGTCCAACCCGGAGGTCCTCGACCTCATCGACGACCACCTGCAGGGGCAGCTTTGGGAGGACGTCAAGGAGTTCATCTCCGCAAATCCCGACATCCTGGATAGGTTGGATAGGCATACGCTGGCGGGATTGGTGGATTGGTTAAAGAAGAAAGGGAAGGCAGCTTACGATTATGCAAAGGATAAGGCGACGAAAGCCGCCGATTATATAAGGGAAAAACTTAAGAAGAAGACGAAGGAAGGAGATGAAACTTCCGAGGAAGAATCGGAGGAAAACCAGCCTGCTGCAGCCACTGCAAGCAATCACTTCGGTGCCTCCATCCGTGGCTGCAGGACCGTCTCCCCCGCGGACCTCACCCACCTGAAGCTCACGATCATGCAGGACCCGGATGTCCTCGATGACATGAACGCCCACCTCCGCGACGGCCTGTGGCAGCGATGAAGGGCGTCATCGCCGCCGACCCCGCGCTGATCCACCACCTGCCGTGCTTCCAGGGTTTCTGGACGAATAATGATGGAACCGATGGTTGGCTCACGGTGCGGGAAAAAAAGTCATGAATGCCGG